TCATGGCTGATGACAGAAAACAGACAACAGGAAAGTTGTCTTCACAACAGTCACCATCAAAGGACAAATGTAAAGTCTTCTGTCCACACTGCAACAACCATGACCACTACTTGAATGGTTGCACTGAATTCAAGGCGCTCAATAACCAGCAAATAATCGAATGGTTGAAGGAAAAGTCCAGATGCTGAAAATGTGGTGCACACATAAACCTGACCAGTTTGCATTGAAAAAAATGCAACACCTGCAAGGAGATCCACTTGACTGTACAGCATGACGTCATTCAGCAAGGACCAAGCAGAACCCATACTGTCGGAGTGAGCACCCTTAAAACTTGCCTTGACTGGCCCCTGCGTCCCCAATAATGTCATGTTGAAGGTCGTTCCAATCACGGTCCTGCTGGAAAACTCGAGACATATGCTGTACTTGACGATGGCTCCATGAGAACAATGGTGCTCGACCATGCAGTCCAGCAACTCAACCTCACCGGGAAGAAAGATTGTATTCTCCTATCAAGAGTTCGACAACTGCCTTCCCAATGTGAAAGGCAGTCGGCCAATCTCCAAGTATCCACGAGGGAACATCCCAACACCAAGTATACCATTAAAGGAGCTTTCACCGCTGACAGTTTACGCCTGTCAGAATATATCCCGTTACAATTCTTCAGAAGCGTTGACCGCACTTACGTGGAGTTGCACTGCCTCTGATCAACAACGCAACTTCCTTGATCCTGATTGGCTCCGACAACTCCGACCTAATCACCCCACAGCAACTTGTGAAAGTCGGCCCCAGTGGAGTACCAGTGGCTGCATGCACCAAATTGGGTTGGACACTTCAGGGACCTGCCAGTGTTCTGAAGGAACAGTTCAGTGGGCAGAAGTGCTTCAAGATTACCATTTTCCAAGAGAACCATGACCTTATGCAGCAAGTTGGGAGGTTATGTAAGGCCAATGTAATCCCTTACACTAGTGAGAAGATTGTAACCCGTTCCAAGCGGGACCAGTATGCTGTGGAACTGGTTGAAGCAAAAACAGTTCGCATTGAAAGAGTAGTTCTGCGCCATCCCCCTTTCGTGCAGGAATGATGGAACTCACTTCCCTGCTGGCAAAGAAGCAGTTCTCCCAAACCTGAAGAGCACAGAGAGACAACTCCAGAAACAACCCGACTTGCTAGGATCCAAAAAGGGCAGATCTAGAAGCTACTTGATGCAGGCTATGTGAGAGTCCTTAGTGATGCAGAAGCCCAGCAGACTGAGGAGTCGTGGTACTTTCCGCATTGCATTGTTGAAACCAGCGGTGAGCTACGTTTGGTGTTCAACTACTCATTCAAACATGATGGAAAGGTGCTGAACAACCATCTTCTACCTGGACCCAAGTATGGAGCATCCCTCCTTGAAGCCCTGCTCAAATTTAGGCAGCACCCAGTGGTGGGGATATCCAAGCAATGTTCATCAGATACGTCTCCTACCAGCTGACAAACCCCTCTTGAGATTCATCTGGCGGAACATGGACAGAGCATCTAAGCCTGATGTCTATGAGAGGCAGGTTCTTCCGTTTGGCACAACTTGTAGCCCCTGCTGCGCCTCATTTGCCCTGCAAAGGCATGTACTCAACAACCAGAAGGGCAATGAAGAGGTCGCACGTGCTGTCCAGCAATCTTTTTACGTAGACAACTGGCTGGACAGTCTGCCTTCAGCCGAAGCAGCTAAAGAACTGGCCATGAAGATACGCACGTTGCTTGCAAAAGGTGGATTCAACATTCGTCAATGGGCAAGCAACATTCTTCTGTCTTTGGTCAGAGTGACACACCCGAAGCCACACTTGGACTGCAGTTGCAGTGCGATGCAGATGACCTTGGCTACAAGCACCGACCTATTGCTCACCAAATGCTCAACCTCAGAACTGTCTCCAAAATCATAGCTGGCAGTATGATCCAATTGGTTTCCTTGCGCCATTCACTGCCAGAGCTAAGGTAATCGTCCAGGATCTGTGGAAGTCAAAGAGAACCTGGGATGACCAGATAGAGCCTGGAGATATCCTCAGCAGGTGGCACACTTGGAAACATAAACTGGCTGACCTACCAAAGCTTCGACTGCCAAAGTGTTACACACCACTTGAAGTTGATACCAAACGACCAATTGAGAAATCCACATCTTCAGTGATGCCTTAGAAAGATTCTATGGCTCGGTCGCCTGCGCACTGAAGATCACAAAGGAAGCATCTAAGTTTCATCCTCTCACGTTCCAGGGTAGCTTCCAAGCGGCAACTTTCCACCCCAAGGTTGGAACTTTCCGCCGCACTGGTCGGTGCACAGTTGGCGGATTTGCTCAGAAAGGAGTTGACCCGTCCCATCCAGAAGATTACCCTGTGGAGTGATTCCACTACAGTATTTTGCTGGCTGAAGTCCGCCTCCTGCAGATACAAGATGTTTGTCGGAGCACGAGTAGCATAGATACAGTCCCTGAGCAATGCAGAGAACTGGCGTTACGTCGACACAGCCAACAACCCCGCTAATGACATCACTCGGGGTAAGACTGTGGCCGAACTCTCCAACAAGCCCCTTGGTTGATGAACCGGAAGACACTGGAGAACTGAAGGGAGCAACATTCTGTGGAGCAATTACCGTGAAAGAGCCCCAGTTGCCAAACCCAGAACAGTACTGCAGCTGGAATGATCTCATCTGGGCCGCCAAGCAGCTTCATGACGCAGCCGTAACTGCTGACATATCTCCTTCGACATTGGTCGAGAAGGAGAAGCCATTGAGACCAACCTTTTGCTTCAGGTACAACGAGACTGCTTCTCACAGGAGGTTTATGCTCTGATGCAGAACAAGCAGTTGCCTTCTGGGAGCAGATTAGCACAGCTCAACCCTGAGTATGATGAAACTTCTAGACTGATGAGAGAGGGAGGGCCATTGCGACAGGCAGAAGACCTCCCGCACGAAGTTAAGCACCCAACCATTCTTTACCTGAAACATCATATTACCAAGCTTTCCATTCGAGATTACGATCAACGACTCCTTCATCCTGGAGCTGAACGTGTTCTTGCCGAAATGCCACGGAAATTCTGGATCCTGCGTGGCCGATAGGCAATTCGTCAGCACCAGCGCCAGTGCAACGATTGCTGCAAGAGGCATGGTAAACCAGCAATTCCCAAGATGGCAGACCTGCTCCCTTCCAGTCTCCGTCTTTTCAGGCTAGCCTTTTTCTCAACTGGCATTGATTGCTTGGGCCAATGACAGTTAAGATCTGTCGACGCACAGAGAAGAGATGGGGAGTCACCTTCAAGTGCATGACCACACTTGCTATTCACTTGGGTTTGCTGGAGAGCAAAGACACGGATGCATTCCTGGTGGCCTTTCGCTCTTTCACCTCCCTAAGGGGTAAACTTTATGAAATCCTGTCTGACTGTGGGACCAACTTCAAGGGTGCAGAGGCAGAACTACGGAGTGCCTTTGCTTTTATGGCTCCAGATTTAAGCCAACAGCTTCCAACCAAAAGGTGCGATTCCAGTTTAACCCGTCTAATGCTCCCCACTTCGGTGGCTCCTGGGAGAGAGAGGTGAAGTCGGTCAAGGCTGGACTCAGAGCTGCTTTGGGAGACCAGTCGGTCACAGAACCAGTACTTCGAACCGTCCTAGCTGAAGCCAAGGGGATTCTCAATTCAAAGCCCTTAGGTTACGTCTCTTCAGATGCCGCTGACGTTGATCCGATGACCTCAAACATGCCTCTGATGCGGCGGCTAGATCCCACCCTTTCACGGGTCGTCGACACCTCCAAAGAATCCATCTGACAACGACGATAGAGCCATAGTCAGGTGCTTGCTGACCAGTTCTGGGCTCACTTCATCAAACCCTACCTTCCCAGTCTACAGAGTCGGCAAAAGTGGTAGACCGAATCCAGAGACCTGACCTGTGGAGACGTCGTCATGGTCGTTGACCCCTAGCTGGTTAGAGCTCAGTGGCCAGTGGGGAGGGTATGTGAGACACATCCTGGAACCGATGGACGTGTGAGAGCGGCTAAGGTCTGAGTCCGTGACAAGGACACCCTATCAACCTGAGGGGAATGCATAAGCAGAAAGGTGTAATCGCGCATGTTTTTGTGTTAATCAAGTCAGTGAATGATCAGGACAGGCGCAAATGGCAAGATTTGCTGCCGCATCTGACATTTGTGTATAATCCCAGCAGGCACACGACATAGTTTCAATGCTGAGTTCTTGCTGACAGGTTGTTTCAACGTCAACAACTATAATACAATGTTTTCTTAATGTTACTTTTTTAATTTAATGTTTAGCCAACGTCAGATTGCAAACGTTGTTTTATCTTCTATATTTCGACAAGTACCCAATGTTGATTACTTGTTACGTTGAAATACCGTCGCAATTAAACAACCCAACTTCAATGCTGAATCAACGCTATGCCGGTGACGTTGATTTGATGTACGGGTTAGACGGTTGAGTGGTGAAGAATATTTGTTGAAATCGTGTCGCGAGTTGATAACCCAAATTTAATGTTAAGCCAATGTTAGATCGCATACGTTGTTTCAAATTCTACATTTCGACAAGTACCCAATGTTGATTAATTGTTGAAATATTTTCGCAGTTTTAACAACCCAACTACAATGTCGAATCCACTTTAAGCCGACGACGTTGATTTAATGTACAGACTTAGACAGTAATGCGGCGTTGAATATTTGTTGAAATCATGTTACAATATTGACAACCCAAATTTAATGTTTAGCCAGCGTCAGATCGCAAACGTTGTTTCAACTGTTATGTCCACAATTACCCGGCGTTGATTTATTGTCGAAGTAAGGTTGACGAAGTTGATTGGTGTACGGATGGGGTTAGACACGGTCATCTGGAGTTGAACTGCGCCAGCGATCAGCTAGCTGGTCCCCATCCCAGCGACTAAGTAGTGTAGAAACAGATGCGTACCAGTTTTCCACTATGTACGCATGCGCCATGCGGGGCGAGGGGCAGTTTGGATTGACAACGGTTTCTTCACACATATTGCCGGCCCATTGCCGAGCGAGAGTGAACGGTTTCCGTACCGTGATTCTGCTTGACATCTTTGCGTTGATGTTCAGATTCCCAGCAAAAGCTTTGTTTCTGAGCTGCCCCCAGTTTCACAGGGGTGATGACACGAGTTTGTTTTTGGACACATATTGAAAAACGAAGTCGATTTTCCAACACTGAATCAACATGATCAACTCGCCGCCAAACAATATGGTGCCACAGTCTATTTATGCCGATTTGCAATGTGAGTTTTCATTGTTCTTCAATGAATTTTTATTCGAGATGTTTTACGAAGCCCGAGCTAAGTCTCATTTCAAACCCATAATTTCCTGAAATTTGGGAGATTGAGTTGCAGAGAACTACTCTGTAACTCTATTTCAGATAGTTTTGCCAAATAAAAAACCAAAAACAAAACAAAACAAAACAAAAAAACAAACAAACAAAAAAAACAAACATAAAAAAACAGGCTAGGCTATGCTAGCAGGGCTAGCCCAGTCTTGTTAGGCCTTTGTCACGTTGTCCCTGTCATGATTGCACCATGGTACGGTATGGCATGGTATGTACGGAGAAGCCTGTTTTTAATGGCCCGTAGAGTTTATACCTTGCTCGCTTCTGAAGATCAGACCTTCCCATCATAATGGTATCCCCCGTACGGGCCGTAGTTTTGAAGTTTTCTGCATATTTAAATTTTTAATGAGGTTACTTGCCTTTGCAACATCATAGGCCTATCTTCATGTACATGGTACATGTACTTTACATGTAGGCCTATTGTAATGTCTGTGTGGACCCGACGTATATATATCACGTATGTGTACTGTACCTGTAGTGAAGTTGAATGCACATGTACAACTACATGTACAAGTACTTCGGCTGCAGTAAAGACTTCAGATGACCTAGCTCACTGTGACCTTGCGTTTGGAGTCTTTTTGACCTTGTGCACTATACTGGAAGGCACATTGTTACCTTTTCTAACTCAGCCTGTTCTAACTCCATGTTTGGACACAGATCTGCAGATTATTGTTGCCAACTAATTTCAAAGTTTGAAATGCTTCCGAGTTTGAAAAAACATGCCTGAAAAAAGTTTTTGCCGTGTGTTGGAGTGAGTTCTAGGTTTTTTCCACAGACGAACATTGTAACAACTGTACAGTACATGTGTTTACATTTTCATTCTCAGAATCTAATTCCCATTCAACTGTTTTCGCACGTTTTTCAGAATGAATTGTTTATATCACATGTATGAGAAACTTCTTTGCTTTGTTCCTTTCAAGGATTTTCCACCATCTTTTCAAGAAAGGGGAAGCTTTATGCATGCGCACTAGTTTGCCCTGCTATCTCCTCAAAATTAAAGGTGATAAGTTATCACCCTAAAGATTATCTAATCAACATGCATGCCAGCAAAGATTGTTAATGCGGATATTCGTAGATTACACAAAAGTAGTTTAACCTAATGATTCTGTCAGAATAAGGATTTGTAACAAAACCTGTTATTTGTCAAATATTTTGTATTTGATTTACATGTGCATGTACATAATATATTTGATTTTGCAGATTCTGCAGAAGTAAGCCAACTTCGGCTACAAGCGACAGCTGAAAGGAACTGGCAAATTGGTTAATGAACTTCTACACCATCATATGCACATGTAGTGCAAGACCATCACAGAAGTTTCAATTTTTCCCCAAAAGGATGATCACTTTAAATCCAATCATTACATACATGTATATGTGTGAATTCTACCAAGTGTTGCACAAAAAGGATTCTCAGGAAAATCTAAAAATAAGCATTTGTTTCAGAGAATCTGGCCAGTATAATTTTGTAGATTAAAATGGGTCCTTCTATAAATTTTAGTCCAGTTTTCTTGTCCCAGTTTTGTCTGGCGTATGATGTTTTCACCCTTTAATAAGACTGAATAAGTACTGCAAATTACCTGTTAAACAAATTTAGTTTGAACTCGATTTCAGTGATATGTCCCTTGTCCATGTATATGTATACAGTTAGGTATAACAGGGATGGAAAATGTCACACGAGACCCCAAATTTATACAATGGCCCAGATTTCAGCGTTTATTAAATTATGAACATGGAAGGAATTTCTTGCCTGAGTAACCATAGGTTGTTTTCACGAATAGTCTACATTTTGTTTGCGCCCAACAATTGAGGGTCTAAGAAGGGATCAAAGCCCATGGTAAACAGTTTAAGGTAATTAGCACTTAGTCCTTTAATGACTCTTTTCCTTCCAGATTTGTCCCCTGCATATCATCCCCTGCATATCGGCAACATCTTCTTGATCACTCTTTTGTCTTGTCCGACAACCTCCGTAAGCTGTTTTCCATCTCTCAAGGTCTCCCAGGTCTGTTGTTTAAGAAAAAAAACTTGAACTTGAACTGGCCCAACAAGAAGAGGTCCGGTTGCGTTAGGTTCAGAGATCTTATTAGAGGCTATCCCACAGGATTATTTTATGCAGTGACAATGTGTTCAAAGAAATCCACGAGGCATTCTGTTTTTAGGCAAGACAGGGCAGTGATCACTTGTACTAATTCCAATATGCCGAGAATGGCGCAGGTCTGCTCGGGAAAACATGACGGTCATGCATGTTGAGTAAAAATGTTGAATTATTTCTTGAGGAAGTTATAGTCATCTAGGTGCACTCTACGGTGTGCTTCTCGTGGTCTCTGATTCTTCTAAACTCTCCTTTTTGCATCGAAGCTGAGGTAGGAGTTAAATTTAACTAAAATTGGGTACACTGCGTTCTTTAAATTCACATGAACAGAACAATTTGAATTCTCCATACGAAAAACACTGTTGTTATACCCCGTGATTTGGGGCAAGCTTTTGCTTAGTTACATAAAGAGACGCCTTGTAACAATACTCAATTCTCAACTGATATATAAAGGGCACAAAGGAACCAGTCCATTCAAGAGATGCAATAAAGCTTGCCCCGAATCATTAGGTATAGCAACAGTGTCTTTGTTCTTGGGAATTAAAATTGTCACGTTTTTGTGCAATCAAATTACTCAGTGTACCAGATTTTATTCAAATATAACTCGCAAATGACTTTTCGAGAAATTTCGAGGATAGTATTTTATTGACATTATTCTGATTGTTTTCTCTACACCCCTTATAGTGTATGTTGTTGTGTTGGACATTGATTTTACCATACACATTTGTGTCATTTTGAACATTTGAAGCTTTCAGAGACTGTCATTCATACAGATTTTGCTTTTGTACTTAGTGTATGAAAAAATTCAATTCAAAATTTTCTCACAGGTCTCCATCAGACATTAAAATCCTGACAGAATTTCCAAGTTACAAGCCGATACATGTACAAGCAGTTTTCACAGCGAAGTTGTTAGGCCATCCATATGTATGGAGTTTTTCAAAGAAGGTTGAGATAATAATACACAATGTGCAAACCTTCCTCACTGTAGTAAATCTATAAAAACAAATGTAACTTGTGTGCAAGAACTACGTATATATCAGCAGTACGTAACATTGATGCATCACTTGAAAAGTTCAGCTCAGCTGTTTTATCATAATTGAAGCCGAAGAGTAATTGTGGATGATCTTTGGATCCAGCTATTGCATCCACAAGTGCATTCTTGGCTCCATATTGGACAGATACGTCAAGAGTGAAACTTGATTAATTTCTAAAAGAATGTACATGCATTGCTGCAATCCTGTCATTCTTTTTATGTACAGGCGCTTTTTTTTATCATGCACAGATTTTGCTCTTTGCAAAGAATACATGTATATACGTGCACGTTCCCGCGTACTTTCTGTTGGAGGTACTTATAGAGCTATTATATTGTAAACACTAGAGTGCTAACTTATCCTTTGTCCGAAGAACCTGTACACAATTCCGAGTTTCCATTAGGTTTGTACACAAACAGGGTTGCGCATAGCACATGTATAGCGCTCTATATATATACTCCCTGGATGTAACATAAAACATATTTTCACGAACATGTTAAATCGTATTAAAGCATGTACATGCATATGTGTATAATTTATAGGGAAAACATGCACATTGTTTTAACGTGATCATTTCCACGTTGACAAAATCACGTTGGGGCACTTTTCATATTCAATGATAATGCCGTGTTTCTTAAACGTCATGATTTAACGTTGCTTAAACATATATTTTATACATTCATTGAATGTTATAGTTCCAACGCGTTTTCTACGTCGACAAAATTACGCTGGCGCAACTTTCATATTCAATCAAAACGCTAGGTGTATTATCCAACGTAAGGATACAGTTAGCCTTCAAAGTTGTGTCAACGTTATTTCAACGAATTGTGCCTGCTGGGATGCTACCCCCCATCGCAGTACGGGTGTAGCCCTATACACATTGATGTTTGGGCGTGATGAGCCCTTAATCCCATTAGACCAAATCCTCGGACGCACTGATAGTGATTGGGAACAAGATTTCACAAAAGAACAGCTACTTAATCGAGCAAAGGACTTGGTGACGGAGAATGTGAAAAAACGTCTGAACAGAATGAGACTGCGTACAATGCAAAGGCTAAGGCAAGTCCATTACCAGTTGGTGCACAGGTCCTTTAGAGGAAGTGCGCATTTAAGGGACGCCAAAAGATTCAAGATAAATATGAAAGGGTGCCGTACAAAGTAGTGGGTAAATCAGCATGGGGATGTTTACCAGATCTGCCCGGTAAATGGGGTCAGGAAAAGACAGTAAATCTAAAGTACCTACTGTTGGATCCCCTGGCTGAGTCAGATCCAGCGAGTACTGACAATTCTGACGATGACCCTGAAGATGGCAGCTTGTTCATGGCAGATGGAAAGGATTCCTAAGTGTTGAATCAGGGGTTAAGCAGTGGAAAAGCAGGGAAACCACCTGGTGAGACAGGTTTTGATGGGTCAGTACCTTTCAGGAGGTCTAGTAGAAGTTCTAGAGGTACACATCATAACCCCTTCCACCTACCTTGTTCAGCCTTGACCTGATACACCTAGCTGATGACCTGGGTTGTCTGGTGAATACCAAAGGTTATGTATTGCCTCTATGGAAAGTCTTGGGGTATTCAGTTTCCACATGGGATGCTTAACAGGCCGGTTTCATCAGATGCCTAGGGGCAGCTGGGTGGCATTACAGTTGGTCGAAAAATTGAGTTCATGTTTCTTCCTAAAAAAGGGTGAAGGTTCACATATTTTTGATGAACGATTTAGGATATTTGATTGAAAGTCGAGAACGGCATGTGTATATTGATTAAAACTTATTTGGTATTTGCCTTTCCGATGATTAGGACTCCACCCTTCTGCGGTTTGATGATTACTTTCGTTTTATTTGGCCACATTTTTGTGCAGTGTTTGAGGAATAAGCGAACTTTGTTATGACAGTAGAGTTAGAACAAGCTCAGGTTCCAGTCACTTGTTTAGGTGAAGGTGGCCTCACGTTAAGTAGAATCAGGAAAAAAACCCAAGCCTACTTCAGGCAGGTCCAGACAGCTCGACCATCAGTTTTGATTTTGGAAATTGGAACCAATGATCTGAGCTGGAGAGACGTTGAGCCAGCAGCATTACGTGCCGCCTCGCGAGGCTTTGTAAATAGGTTGTGTGCTTGGAACAGTTTCCCAGATACAGTTGTTTTTCTGTCAGCCTTGCCAAGAACGGGCGGTAGGCCTATGTAAAGGAACCAGGTTTCTCTAAACCAGTTTAATCAGAAGGCTGAAGTTTTGAACAAGTTGCTTGAGGACATGACTTCTCTGGAAGATAGGTGGTTTGTATGGAAACATCGGGGTCTTCGACACACCAGGTACCGATGGAGTGCATCTTAACGAGGAAAGCATGATCCAATATGAGAGAACCCTTAGGTAGCAGGTTAAATTCTTCGAGGCCCAATGTTGGAGATAAGTACTGTATTATATGTTATCAGTAAGTACGGAAAAGTTGAATTTACTGGAAAAGATAGATTACAAGTTGCTTAAGAGATGTGAGATGCTAAGTAACAGCTAGTGTACTTTTTTAGCAATTTAATTTAAAAAAGAGTTTAGTCAACAATAATCGAAGAATGTTCTTGATTTGCACGATGGATATGCAAATTTATGTCTGTAGACAAGTAATTTTTGGATGGTCTCCAGGAGTAAATCATTTCAGTAGGAAAGGTTTTGGTGATTGTCTAGTTATGGTTGACTGGTGTAGTCACATGAGGGCGTTATTCATGTTCTCAATGAATGGCCCAGTTGCAGGTGTAACAGTCTCATTTATTTGGCATTCGCAGATCTCCGGGGTATTAACCGAACATTGCTGAGCGACCCGAACTAGCACCCGAACGTATGCGCAGTCAGTCCCATTTTGTTCACTTTTATAGGTGTGCTGAGTTTCTACCAACCTCGACTGCATGGGCTGTGTGTGAGTTGGATTTAAGATCGCTCACGGCATGTTGGGAACGTGTGTGGCGCTGTAAGATCGTACCAATGAGAACGAGGTTCCGAATGTATGTACTGACCGTACATGGGTACCTCTCCAGATCCAACGTCCGCACCATGTCTGCACTTATCGCTGTTATTTCTTCGTATGCCTAAGCCACCGCGCGCGCCAAATGTGGGACCAAAGCGTAAGTTCGTACGCAACTGGAAAAATCAGCACGGGGATAAGTGAGCACGTCGCAGCAACGTGCTCATTTATCCGACGCGTTCTTCCGGAAATCCAAGCACGCTGGATAAATGAGACCTTTACACCGGTGTAGCAATCTTTGTGTTGTGGGTATGTTATACGGGCACGAAAGATAGTTCCAGGTTCAATGATGTATTAATTTATAAAATGTCAATGGTTTGGATCTGGGAGCTGTGGTAGAACGCAAATGGGCAAATATTGATAGTCCCAGACAACTTATAGATGGATTAAGCTATGATTGGTTAAGTTTCCTGTGCCTCATGAATATGCATGTTCACTGGTCGTTCGCGCCATAACCTTGGATCTTGTCCAAATCTTTTGGATAACTTTGTGTTGATCAGTGTTAAGGGCCCGGAATGGTCCTGCAAATCTGCTGAATTGCAGTCGGGGAGTCCATAGGCTAGGGGCAGGTTACCAACATTGACAGGTGAGCTATGGTACAAAGCTACTTTAAGGTTATTTGAGTGGCCGATCGAGGGTGGAAGTTGCATGTTAAATATGCAATGTGGGGTGTTGGTGTGCACGTACGTGCACACCACCTTTATTATTGTACATGTACAATGTATTGTGACCCTGGAAGTACAGTCCGTAATGTGTAAATGTAAACGTGTAGCCCCAGCATACTTCGCATTGCGGGTAGTTAGTTTAATTTTTGGAACCGGAGATTCACGTTTGTTCAAGTGAATGATTTTGTATTGGCAGGTCTTTTCTTTGGTAAAGAATAAAATCAACAATAAGCCAGGCTCCATAGTGCCCACGGGAACCCTACTTTAGCCGTGTATTATGCTACATTACAAAAAAGTACGCATTGCTTTGTTAGGTCATTGGTGTCTACTTCAAATTACTTCAATAACAAAGTCCTTCTTACAGTGGGCAATAGTTATCACAAACAGTGTAAGGTGTGGGCCCATTTAGAACCAACAGTAGGTACAATATTGAAAGCATTCTGATAGCATTTTTTTTTCTAAAAGAGGTTACAGGTAAAAGACAGCAAAGTAATTAGGGGTAATCTGATGCTAGTTTATAAAGTTTTCTGAGTGTTTTTGCCCACTCTTTCCTGATATTGCAGTTTTGTTTTAGCCAAAACTATAATTTGGCGAAAGTACCTTGCCTCTTTTTGTATCTTGTCAGTAAGAACGGAATTACTTCCAACCAATGTCCAAAGTTCACTGGATTGGT